TGTATCCCGCAGTCCCACATCAAGATCATAACCCAAGGAATCAGGAACTGTGCTATAGTCGAGGTGCTATTAGTTTGAAACAAGTGAGCATGAGGCTATCTTAACAACAAAGTTTAAAACGAACCGCTAAAGCGAAAACACTTCACGTGGAATGGAATAAACATCAAAAGGTTGATTTATGCTAAACTGTACTCAAACGTGATTGGAGTAAAATTTAAACATATAGAAGCCTAAGAATAACTATGAAACTCGGAAGCTAAAGAAATGAGAGATATACTAAATGCACATAAGAAAACACAAAGGAAAATCACTGGAATATGTATTTTTTGTCATATGATATAGGACTGTAACAAAAGGGGAGAATGGAAGAAATGTTACCTTATTTCGGGCAGAGAACTGAGACGAGAACGAGAAAGGACGAGCTTTCCGACCACACCAGAGCTTGGAGAATTCTTGTGAATCCCAGCAACCCACGAAACAAGAAAAAGGAAGTGTCTCTTAGATGTATTTCTTATACGATTTTAAGCCTTGAGACTATTATCTCTGTGAATTTATTTTTCCTGCCAACGTCTCTTTTTCCAACTCTTCTCTGCCTTAGTAAAGAATTTCCCGCTAGAAAAAATCTCCCCCCTCTTTCATACCGAAATTGTAGTGGGTTATATAGATGGATGCTAGGGTTTCGAACTTGGAGAGAAAGGGCTAAAAAGAAATCGATTCTCGGGCCCAATTCAAAATTCAAAACTCCAAATACCTTGCACCAATTTGGGGCAACACATTTTCTCTGAAAATTGACCCATTCCGGAAGAGGAAAGGGGCATGACGCATGCTGTTCTTCTGCTGCGATTGTACAAACCGAAAGGGACGAGAGAAGGACGGACACGCAAGAGGTCACTGGTGGGCTCACACGATCGTTGAAGCCGGGTTCGTTTTGGGTCGATTTCTGGGCTGATCTCGGGCTGCTGCTCGCGATTGAGATTCTGGGTTTCAATTTCAATGGGTCGTGATGCTGTTGGCATGAAGAAGAAGATCAAAATGTAGTGGGTTGTTTGGTGTATTGATGCTGGTCATTTTTGGAATGGGTCGGTTGGCACATGTTGTTGTAAGTTGTATGTATTTGGTGGGCTGTTGAGATTTGGAAATAAAAGAGAACAAAATGGGTCTATAATTGTGGGCTGGGAATAAGAAAAAGACTGCTGAAAATGAAGAAAGGGCCCAAAACTTAGATGGGTCAAAGGGCTGGGAATATGTAAAGTACAAGGCCCAAAATTGGCTTGAGGATTTGAAGGAATTGGATGATTTGGCTAAAATTTAAAATAGAGAATTAATCGGTAATTTAGCCAAAACGGATTTAAGGTGTAATTAGAGAATTAATTTCTAGAAGACCCGGCTAGAATTCACGTAGGATGAATTAATATAATTAATCTATGAGCTTCTTAATCTTAACGAAATAAAAATAATTAACTTACTTATAAGATAGTTAATTTAAACTTCAAACCAATTAATTACGAGCTTACCCTATAATTCAAACTAGAACTAAAATAATAAAGTATTTATTTTAGCAATGTAGAAATCTTTTGATATGATTTTCGAATAATAATAAAATATATTAATTATATATAATTATGCGAAACATATATATTATCTAAAAATTATAAAAAGTGACAAAACTATTTAAAATAACTCGCAAACTATTTGAATTTTATAAATTCACTTATTTCATATCGTTTGGAATTTTAAGAAGCTCAAAAATTAATTCCTATCGTGGATGGTTAAAATTAGGTGTCAACAACTGTCCCTCATTTTACTTGGATTGATGCAAGAAATTCGAGGAAAATGGAATTGACGAACCCAATTTTGACCGACCACGTCTTCATCTTTCGGAGAGGGAATTTTGTACGGACTTTAAGAATTATGGCCGAACCCCGGAAGTGGGTCTCCTACATATCTCAGGCTATATGAGAATTCAGGCCACTTGTAGTTTGATACGCTTGATTTTACGCACGATTTTGAAAGAATTCAAAAGTTATTCCGATATCGAATTATGAAGAGACCGAAACACTCAGGAATAAGATTTAAGGGAGAATGTTGGAACACAGCCGAGTTTTCAACATTGATCCCACCTACATATTCTCAACTCAGGGAATTAGGCTGCTTGTAGTTCGACTCTATCGGTTGAAAAGGAAATCTATTACGCAAAATATCCTTTAATTTTGAAGGAGTGACAAGTAAGTCTTAGCAATGAATGTGGTGCACTTCACACCCATAATTAAGAACTTACACGGACATAATTCCCAAAGCTCTTGGCACATTTGTCACTCAGATTGGAAGCTGCTTCCGGTAGAGACCAAAGTTTCTGAATACGAAATAGAAACTGACAAATCTAGAAAAACCCACATGCCTTCTAACAGGGGTGTGGTTTGATTGTGGTGAAAGTCGCTCCTCTGCTCGCGTCCTAAGAGTTTGACACTCCTCTTTGGACTATGTCCCAGTTCGCTGCTAAGGAAAAGTTCCACGTTGTGCTGCATCCTTTTTGATGTCATTCGTACCTGTGGTTTGTTTTGGAGAATTCATCCTTTCGGGTGCTCTCGACAAAGATTGAGACAAAACTCGTTAGCATAAAAAATGCAATTCAAATGGGAGACAGTGTCTTTTACCGTGTCGACACTTAATTGTTCTCCTTGAACATTTGACGTCAACTCTATCGGGTTTGACGTGAAGCGAATAAAATTTGTGTCTCATAGTTGCAATATAATCTTCAATGTACTCTTCATTTGATGTCAAAGTAATAAAAATAGGATGATGTAATATGTTGATAGTTCTTTTGATGTCGTTGTTGCAAAGAAAAATGATGCATCCGATGTCAATCTTCTTTTGATAGGCGAATCTTAGTGAATCGTTTTCCCACGATGTATGAATCTCTTTTCGCGATGCATGAATCTTCTCTTGCAATGCGTGAATCTTCTTTTGCTATGCATGGCTTCTCCGCGAAATATGACTTTTCCGCGATGCATGACCTCTTTCTCTTGCTATGCATGACTTCTCCGAGATGCATAACTTCTTCCTCTTGCAATACATGATTTCTTTCTCTTATAATACATGAATCTCTTTTCTCCTCTTGTAATACATGAATCTATTTTCTTGATGTGCATGACTTCTCCTCTTGCGATGCATGAATCTTTTTCCCGCTATGCATGACTTTTTCCTCTCGCAATGATTGACTTTTTTCTCTTGCTATGCATGGAAATTTTCCCTGCGATGCATGACTTTCTTTTCGCGATGCATGGATTTTTCCCGCGATGTATGGTTTTCTTCTTCTTGCTATGCTTGACTTTCTTCTCTCGCGATGCATGAATCTTCTCTCGCAATGCATGCATCTTTTTCCTCTTGTAATGCATGAATCTTTTTCCTCTGCGATGCATGACTTTCTTTTCGCGATGCATGGATTTTTCCCGCGATGTATGGTTTTCTTCTTCTTGCTATGCTTGACTTTCTTCTTGCAATGCATGAATCTCTTTTCTCGCAATGCATGCATCTTTTTCCTTGCTATGCATGAATCTCTTCTGATGATGTCTTCCTGATACCAAATGAAGATAATGCTTCGCTGAGCAACATATGTGATCTTCTGGGTATCTTTTGGATGGCGGTATCGTCTCAACCGACAATGTAAAATAAAAATGACCCTCGGAGTAGTGGTATCGTCTCCTTTGACAATAAGATATAAATTACTCTCTGGGTAAGAATATTATCATATCTGATGATATAATGCAGATACACGTCTTTCAGGTATCTTTAGTCCCTGGAAAATAATAACAATACTGCGGCTTTCGTTTGTTCCATCTCTGAACATAATCGCAGGTCCATTATGGATTTCGCCTTGTTGGGAATTTGAATGAAATAATGCTATTCATATTCCCAAATATTTGATATAAGAAACATAAGATATTTCCTGCATCCACAGAAAAATTGTAAATTTTGGGGATCTCCTCGCCCTTTTGACTTCTCCATATTCATTAAATGGAGGAATAAGTTAATCTTGCGGCAAACCTATAGACCTACATCCACAGAAAAATTGTTAGTTTAAAAATGAACTGATCTGCGCTGGTCTCTTCGGTTGTCTGCTCCTTGTCTTGCTATCTCAAGTTGATTTCTCCGATATCCCGCCTCTTGATAGATAAGACAAAATATTTTTATGCAAAAATAATTAGAGCGTGAAGGAAAAGCTTTTAAGAAAAGTAGATTTTCGAAAGTAAGGTTTGGAAAAAGCCACTGCCAAGTGTCATGTCACATCAAGCTTAATGAACACCATTTAGAGGTGATGTCTCAAGGTCTATCTGATTACTTGCTGAAAGTATTCAAAGTTGGTCTAAACTGCCAATAAACCTGTTGAAATTTGAGGCCGTCCTCAAAATTTCTGTCCCAGTTAACTATCTTGGCTTATCTTTAACCATCGGTGAGCAAATCACGGAATTTTTGAGATTTTCTCAAAAATTCTGTCCCAGTTGCAAATCTCAAAGTGACTTCAGTCTCAACTTTGTTGGAGAGATCTTCTTTTTTGAGAATTTTTGAGTCCATCTCAAAAATTCTGTCCCAGTTTCTATTGTAAAGAGCAATAGAAATCTTACGGAAGATATGACCGAACCCTTGTGGCGCCTACGTATCCCGTTGAGGCAGGAATCAGGTCAAACGTAGTTCCTTCTCTCGAGGATTAACAAAAATAAGAAAAATTACAAAGAAACCCGACCGAGGCCGACACAGGCCGCCTACGTATCTCATTCTTGAGAATTCAGGTCGAACGTAGTTCAAATACAAAAGGGAAATATTAAAAAGGGGATAAAGGAGTGACCGAGGCCGACATAGGCCGCCTACGTATCTCATTCTGAGAATTCAGGTCAGACTAGTCATTACATAGGGATAGATTCTAAACAATGCAATTACAAGAAAATAGAACGATTACAAGAAAATAACAGGAATACAAACTAAAGCTTCACACATAGTATCTCTTAACAGCATCTGAATTGATCGGTTTCGTCCATTCGGTGCCATCCATCTCCGACAGGACCAAGGCACCTCCAGGATAACGCTTTACGAACCATGTAGGGTCCTTGCCAATTTGGTGCGAATTTCCCTTTATACTCATCCTGATGAGGGAAAATGCGTTTAAGGACCAGTTGGCCGATTTCAAATATCCTGGCTCTTACTTTCTTGTGAAAGGCACGAATCATCCTCTGTCGGTATAGTTGTCCATGACAAACAACAACCATTCTCTTCTCATCAATTAATGTTAACTGATCAATCCGCTTGCGAACCCATTCAACATCACTCAATTCAGCCTCTTGGATGATCCTTAATGAGGGTATTTCAACTTCTGCAGGTATAACTGCTACTGTTCCATATACTAGCAAATATGGAGTGGCTCCAACTGATGTTCTGACAGTCGTTCGGTAACCCAATAAAGCATATGGCAACATCTCGTGCCAACCTCGGCGATTATCAATCATTTTCCTCAAAATCTTCTTTATGTTCTTGTTGGCAGCTTCTACGGCTCCATTCATTTGGGGACGGTAGGCAGTTGAGTTCCGATGAGTAATCTTGAACTGTTCACATATTTCTCTCATCAAATGACTGTTGAGATTCGCTCCATTATCGGTGATGATGGATTCTGGTACTCCAAACCTACATATCAGGTTGTTGCGAACAAAATCAGCTACAACTTTCTTGGTCGCTGACTTGTACGAAGTTGCTTCCACCCACTTGGTGAAGT